GAGAGAGAGAGCGCACAAGCGGGGAGAGTAGCAGAGGGAGAGGGAGAAGCAGACTCCCTGCTGCCTGGGACCCTGGGATCATGACCATAAGCAGACGCTTAACTGACTGAGCCACCTGAGCGCCCCTCAAGCCATCTTTAAAAAGATGGTGTTTGTGGAGGGGTTGGGTGGCTGGGTGGCAACACAGTCATTTCTCATATCTTTAAAGTTAGCTCCAGCTGCAAGGATGTTCCAGACCCTCTAGTTTAACCCCTTCATTATGCAGAAGTGAAAAGTGAGGCTCAACAAAGCTAACCTCGCCCACGGTCACAGGGATACCGAGTGTCCCGTCTAGAATCAGAGTCCAGGCTTCCCAGTTCCCAGTCCAGCCTTGCCTTGGACAGCTCCTGTTTTCACCTCAACCCCAGGAGGATGGGGGACTCCTCCATAACCCTGTTTTCAGCTGATTGGTTAATAAAACCTGAAGCACAGCGGGGTGATTAAGCAGTGTGTGTTGGGCCCTAAGGCCGGGAAAGAGTACATAAAGGGGTTTTTGGCTCTCGGCTCCGTGGTCTTTTCTAGTATGATTTGATTTTGACCAACACAAATTAGCTTTCATGTATATTAGGGAGGGAGGAACGGAGCGGTCAAACCCTGACGTTTACCTTTCTTGGGGTCCTAAGGCCCATCCATCCTTTGAAGACACTTGAATACAATAATTCTTCCCCCAGCGCCCTTCCCCCACCCGAAGCCCCCATTTATTCTCCTTTTGAGGAAAGCTCTTCTGCTCCCAGGGCCCTCTGTCTGATGAATGATTGATATGCCACTGGTTCCAGTGAGGACTAGAGTCCACTCTACTCCCCCTGCCGCCGAAGTCTTTGTTCTCATCCCCCCTCCGCCCCTCCCCCCCCAGTGGCTTGGGTGAGGGGAGAATCAGCACCTCGGCTGCTCTGAGGTTCTCCTTCAGGGCTCTTACGGCTGACCCTGCCACCCATTCAGGGCCGGCCAGGCCCTTGGCGCTCCCCGTGAGGGAAAAGCAGAAGCGCCTGCCTTCGGCTTGGACTCCAGGGGTCTGTCTTCTCTGTTGCAGTCTGCCTCCCGCCGAGTGGGCCTGTCCTGTGCCAACTGCCAGACCACTACGACCACGCTGTGGCGCCGCAACGCCGAGGGTGAGCCGGTGTGCAATGCCTGTGGCCTCTACATGAAGCTCCATGGCATTTTATTTATTTATTTGACAGACAGAGAGAGAGCACAAGCCAGGGGAGTAGCAGGCAGAGAGAGAGGGAGAAGCAGGCTCCCTGATGCGGGGCTCGATCCCAGGACTCTGAGATCATGACCTGAGCCGAAGGCAGACACTCAACTGACTGAGCCACCCAGGTGCCCCTGGCCGTACTTATTAAGGATAAACACACATATCTTTTGATTTAGCAGCTCTGCTTTTGGGAAACTAGCCTGTAAAACAATAAAAGAATCAGTACGTAATGATGTTTGAACTATTTATTGCTGCAGTATTTGTAGCGGCAAAAACTGGAGACCATCACAAAGCCCCGTAAAGGAATGGTTTAGTAAATTATGGCAGTACTATGATGTGGAATATTGTGCAGAAATTTAAAAAATACTAAGAGCCATGTATCTTGACCTGGAGTAACAAAAAAGCACATTGCGAAGTAATACACATAGTATGACCCCATACTATGGGGGTGAGGGTGTGTTAAATACACACACAGATATAGATGGGTGGATGGATGAATACACACGTACATACATGTATAGAGCTGTACGTGTGCGTACATGTTTGAGAACGTTTTCCAAATGTAAGAAACGTAACAGGCTGGTCCTCCAATTGCCTCGTGGGGACAGGATTGATGGGAGAGGGGTGGGAGGGGCAGTACTACCTTCGTCTTCATGAATCTTTTCATGTCTTCTTTCTTTATTTTTTTTATTAGTTCTTTAATTTTAATTCCAGTGTAGCTAACATACAGTGTTATTTTAGTTTCAGGTGTACAATACAGTGATTCAACAATTTTTTTTTTTTTTTTTTTTTTGAGGGAGAGGAGGAGCAGAGGGAAAGGGAGAGAGAGTCTTAAGCAGACTTGGCGCTGAGCATGGAGCCCGATACAGGGCTCGATCTCACAACCCTGAGATCACGACTTGAGCCAAAACCAAGAGTCAGACACTTAATCAACTGTGCCACCCAGGTGCCCCAGTGATCCAGCAGCTCTGTACATTATTCGGGTGCTCATCATGAGAAGTGTACCATGTTTTCTTGTTAGTGAGAAAAAAAAAAGCCAAAAATATAGTTAAGAACATTCATAAGAAAACATACTTCTTTCTGCAGAGAAGTGTATCAAGGATGTTTGTTGAATCACCATGATAGAGAAAATGGAGAAAAAAAACCTTCAGTAGGGAAACGGTTAAAGAAATTCTTGTTCCTCAATTAGGGGAATGGTAGAAGAAATGGAGAAAGGAATATTATGCAGGTTTTAAAAAGATTGTGTCCTCGGGACGCCTGGGTGGCTCACTCAGTTAAGCGTCTGCCTCCAGCTCAGGTCATGATCCCAGAGTCCTGGGATCGAGTCCCACAGTGGGCTCCCTGCTCAGTGGGAAGCCTGCTTCTCCTTCTGCTTGTTGCTCCCCCGGCTTGTGCATTCTCTCTCTCTCTCTGACAAATAAATAAAATCTTTAAAAAAATTTGTATCCTCAAAAAATTAAAAAATAGAATTAGCATATGACTCCGCAATCCCACTTCTGGGGATAGATCCAAAAAGAATTGAAATCAGAGCCTTGAACAGAAATGTGTGTCCTCATGTCCACAGCAGCGTTCTTCACAATAGCTAAAGGTGAAAGCAACCCAAGTGTCCACAGTTGGGTAAGCAAAATGTGGTCTGTCCATGCAATGGAATACCATTCAGCCTTTAAAAGGAAGTAAATTCTTTTTGTTGTTGTTGTTTCATTTATTTATTTTTGAGAGAGAGCAAGAGAGATAGAGCACGAGCCGGGGGGAGGGCCAGAGGGAGAAGCAGACTCTCCACTGAGCAGGGAGCCCGATGTGGGACTCGATCCCAGGACCCTGGGATCATGACCTGAACTGAAGGTGGACGCTTAACCGACTGAGCCACTCAGGCGCCCTGAAAGGAAGTAAATTTTGACACATAGTACCAGATAGATGAACCTGGAAGTCATTACGCTAAGTGAGAGAAGTCAATCATACAAGGACAAGTCTCATATGATTCTACTTACTTGAGGTACCCAGACTAATCAAACTCATAGAGACAGAAAGTAGAATGGGGGCTGCCAGGGGCTGGCAGAGGGGGAAATAGGGAGTTCATGGTTAATGGGTACAGAGTTTCAGTTTTGCAAGATGAGAAGTGTTCTGGAGACAGATGGTGGTGATGGCTGCACAACAATGTGAATATACTTAACACGACTGGAAAGGGTTAAGATGATAAATTTTATGTTACGTGTATTTTACTACAAATTTTTTTAAAGAAGTACTGAGGTTGGTCGGGAAAAACATGAGGGCTATATTCTTCTGAGGTCAGGATGGGCTTCAAGTGGGCCAAGGCGGGGTGGGGGGCTGGAGGGAGGAGAGGACACTTCCCTCCAAAGGTGGAAATACTGATCTAGAAGGCAGGTTCAAGTTCACCTAATCTGCTGCACCTCTCTCTTAACCATTCTGTGTTTAATCTCTGAAGTGGTAATTACTTGTCTTTCAGTATTTCAAGCTTGGCCGTTATGAGTCCCATACAGGAGACAAGTACAGACCAGGAGCTAAAAGATTTGGTTGGCCTGAACTAAGAGAAACCAGATGCGGGGAAGGCACACTATTTAAAAATACTAGAAAGGTGATCCAGCAAGCCTCCTCCCCAGACCCTTGTCTAGGCACCTGTGAATGGTTCAAGAGCATGACACCTGATAGTCACTGCTTGTTTATGAGAAGTCAGTGCAATAAAAGTGTTGTCCATGGACTGTTTATCTCAGGACCTGGCCACAGGGCAGTCTCCCCAACATGATCTCTTTTTGCTCCCCACCCCCCACGGAAAGACTGCGGTTGGCTCCAACCAGACTTAATGCAATGCTGAGCTGCTCTAGGTAGAGTGACTTGATGTCTCAATTCACTGGGTCTGTCCCAGTGTCCGCCTATTTTCTTAGCATAATTATTAATAGCACCCCCTTTTCACTTTCATAGTGTCCTGATTTTGCTGATACACTAAAGGCTTTTGCAAATACTGTTCCTGCTGCCTGAAATGCCTGCTCCTTGTCTACTCGACAACCTCCCACAACTTAGGCATCACCTCCTGAGTGAAGCCTTCATTGATATGGTCATGTGCCACTTCCCCTCCTCCCCAGCTGGGGACACAGTTTAGTGTTTCTTCTCCGTTCTCCCAGATCACTTATGAGTCTGGTTGTTTCCTGCTTGTCTGTCTTTCCCAGTCAACTGAAGCTCTGGAGGGAAGGAATGGTGCCTTTAAGCCTCCATTTCTCCAGGGTGAGTGTAACAAACAGCACGTAGTATAGGATCTCAATACGTACTTGATTTCTTTCTCAGCAGGCGTGCCAGGGGCTGATTCACCTAGTCCCAGCCCCAAGGTTTGTGGAGGAATTGCTTAGATGTTGCCTTCTCATAGTATGTGTGCATGTTTAAATACTGTAGCAGATCATGTACAAGTGGAAAACCATATATATTGACTTGTAATCCTCTAGGTCCCAAGGCCTCTTGCAATGCGGAAAGAGGGGATTCAAACCAGAAAACGGAAGCCCAAGAATCTTAATAAATCTAAGACACCGGCAGGTGAGGAAAAGAATTGTGTGTAATTATAGGACAACTCAGTGGCCCTTGGAGTATGTGAAAATCAGGTATTCTTAGTTAGGTGGGCCAGCCCAGGCTACGGAGGCATGATAGCATTGTCCAGCCCCCCAGCTATTCAGGACAGATTGATAACCCAGGGAAAAGTAGCATCACCATGCAACATTTGGGGAGCTTTTGAAGCAGGCTCAATTCAAGGTGCATGATCACTGTCAGTTGCAAAGGCCATGGGGGGCCAGCTGGACTGCATGGGGGCCAGAAGGAGAACTACTCTTCCCTCCATCTTCGGTGCTGCAGCCAGCCACTCAAGAGCTCAGTTCCTCTCTATTCTCCTTGAGATAACTGGGATCTAGGAGGACAGGATCTCATTAGTCCTGTTCACAACAGCTTGATTTGTAAGCCAGTGTATAGTTAACATCATGTAGTACTTAGCATTTTAGAAAGCTGCTTTACCATTAGTAGCTCATTGGTCCTTGAAGACCCCCATGTGACCCATTATCCCCGTTTTACTCCTGAGCAAACTGAGTGAGGCACAGAGAGGTTAGTGACTTAACTAGAGTCACACAGCGGTGAGTGGGTAGACCTGGAATTAAAACCCAAGTTTTTACACTTCCGGGTCCATATTCTGTCCCATGTGCCACTTTGCCTTCTCAGTTTCTAGATGAAGAATGAGGACGACTCATGCTCCTATCAAGAGCACTCCCTCCTCAGTACTGCTACCAAATTAAAGATTTCACGGGAACATGCTGCCATTGCAGAGGAAATAAATCAGCTGATCCGATGGAAAGTTTATCTTTTAATCTAAGGCATGAGAAACAGACAAATTTCCCCTTTCCACTACCAAGAACATGACCAAAGTTCTCCGTTCCCAGATTCCACAACGGCTTACCCCTGCTGGCAGTATGTCTCATTAGAATTTTCTGTGTCTTACACCAGTGGTCCTCAGCCTTTCTGCCTGTGTCCACACTGTTTTATAAGTACAGCACCTTCCCCTGGGGAACTTCATCTCCTTACATGCTGTGGTGACAGGGAGAGCAAGCATTTGGTTCAGTCTGAAATTCCAAATCCAGGGAGCTGCCTCTGGCAGCGAAACCTAATCTGAACAGACTCCAGCTATTTATAGTCTTTATTTGTCCCATGTGTGAAGATTCACATGTTTTGCTGCAGAACCATGAGTGTATTTAATTATGGGGTGTTGTCTCAGGCTCCACTGGAAGTACCCTAACATACAGTATCAAAATCCAAACACTTTTGAATCCTGAAACACACGTGGTCTCAAGGATTTGGAATAAAGGGTGGTGAGCCCATCACTTGAAAAACTTCCCGTGAAATTCTGGTATTTTCATGTGTCCCATTCTGAGAACCGTTGCCCGGCGCTGATGAAGGACCCTGCTTCACTCCCCAGCAAATCTAAATAAAGCCGTTAGCACAGACCTACCCTGGCTGTCTCCAAGGACCGCCATCCATTTGCCCCTGCCCCTGGCCTGGGTGGCCTGACTCTGCCTCATTCCAGGTCCCTCGGGCGGTGAGAGCCTGCCTCCCACCAGCAGCGCTTCCAGCAACTCCAGCAACGCCGTCACCAGCAGCAGCGAAGAGATGCGCCCCATCAAGACAGAGCCCGGGCTGTCGTCCCACTACGGGCACAGCAGCTCCATGTCCCAGGTACACTCCCCAGGCGGGGAGATGGGACCGCCTGGGGGACGGTGGTACACTGCCAAGGACCAGGTGGCTGGGTCAGCCCTGGAACATGGGGGCTGTAGCTGGGCCTCAGCGGGTCGCCGCAGGAGCTGCTTGGTGCCCCTGGGGCCCCACCCGAGGCTAGGGGCTTGTCTGCATGAGGGTCTGTTTCAGCACATCGGATCAAGTTACAGTGATTGGGGCACACAGCGGTGACACACAAATGTTCAGTAGCTCCTCCATGTCGGGACCTTCGGACACAGGTTGTGGGGAGGGGACACATTAGGGCACAACCACAACCTGAGTCGGACTGTGTGCATTGAGGGATGGCGGTACGACTATAGCAGGCTGTGGAAGGTGGCGCATGGGCTTTCTAGGCAAGTCTGTCTCCTAAGTGAGAGGTGCTTTGGCCTTGACCATGAAGGATGGATAGATTTTTTTTTTAAAGATTTTATTTATTAGAGAATGCGCGCAAGAGAGAGCACAAGTTGGGGGGCCGAGGGAGAAGCAGACTCCCCGCTGAGTAGGGAGCCTGATGTGGGGCTCGATCCCAGGACCCTGGGACCGTGACCTGACCTGAAGGCGGACACTTAACCTACTGAGCCACCCAGGCACCCCAGGATGGATAGATTTTAACAGGAGGAGGGGGAGGAAGAGGACCCTCCTAGCATGAGCAAAGATGTGGACACTAGAGGGCAGGGTAGGTAGGCACAGGGGGTTGGTGAGGAGGTCACAGGCAGGGTGCCATTTAATGAAGGTCAACTACAGCTTCAGCTTCAAACATGTGTCCAGAAGACAGGTTAGCAGTACCGTCATTTCCCTCTTTCGAATATGATGGGTATTCCTACTCCCCAACTCCTTCCCTCTTTGGTTCCCCTATTTGGGATTAGGATAGTCCCACACTTGGTTACTGTTTCCTGTTAATTCTGCTCTGTTCTCCGCATGTGCTTGAGGGAGGCTGTATCCTAAAGAGCTTTTTACTGTCAGGGTAAAGAGGCTGGTCCCATAGAACCAGGAGAGCCAGGAGCCTCTTCTGGGCAGGGAGATCCAGTGGTGATAAGACCACAGAAAATTTCTCATGTAACTTATCAGAGCCTTCTGAAAAGCCACAGTATCCACACACCTACTGGGTCCCAGTGCTCAGAAGAAGTGAATGAATCACATAGACCCTTCACGTCCCACAGCACAGGGGTTAGGAAAAACAGAAACAAGGGCTACTTGGTATCTTATCCTGCCCTTGTCCTTGGGCCCTCTCCCCTCATCCCTTTCCTAGGGGTGGGAACTAGCTTAGGGACATCTGTGTCATGGGGCTCCCCTCCCCAGCCCAGACCCCCTGTTCCTGAGCCCCCAGGAGTGATTCCATTGAGCTCATCTTGCGCTTTTTGCTTTCAGACGTTCTCAGTTAGTGCGATGTCTGGCCACGGGCCCTCCATCCACCCAGTCCTCTCGGCCCTGAAGCTGTCCCCGCAAGGCTATGCATCTTCCGTCAGCCAGTCACCGCAGGCCAGCTCCAAGCAGGACCCTTGGAATAGCCTGGCCTTGGCTGACAGTCATGGGGACATAATCACTGCATAATGTCACCTCCTTCCCTCCTCAGATTCCTGCACGGACTTGGGACTTGGAGGACAGCAGAGATGAGGGTCTGGGCTCCTGGGAGCCAGCCCGCTCTGTTGGGGAATGACTCCAGAAGAACAACTGGGAAGAAACTTGAAATTGACAATTTGGTTAGGGGAAGTGGGTGTTGGATTTTATCGGATGCCTTTTCAAGGGTGGGCTACTGGAAAGAGCCCAAACTCTGATCTGGAAGAACCCACCCTTCACTACGAGCACATTCAAGTCCCTTCTGTGGAGTAAGAGACTTGTTTCTTGTTTTCCACCCCACCCCTCCCGCACAAGAGAGGAGATGTCCTTCTGCCCTACCCTTCCACCACTGTTGCCTAAGATGGTGGTTTTTCCATGGTGTTCCCAGCACTGGGGATCTGAGGGTGGGTGGAGGGGTCAAGGCGCTGGGATCTCTGGTCCAGCCTGAACCAGGGCACCTGTTTGACACGCATGTGGATGCGACAAGCCCCTCCGGGCCGCTGCTGCCCCTGTCCAGCACTCCCCCTTCAGGCTTGGCCCAGCACTGCATTCCTCAGTACCGAATCTTGACCCCAGAAACGGTTGAGTTTAGCCCCGATGTTACTGAATGCTTCATGGGGAGATGGAGGAGAGGGCCGCTTCACCCACTGCAGGGTGTGCCTTTGGCAAAATCACAACTTGGCAACTTCGCCTCTCCCAAGTTCGTTTCCCCGGCCCACGGCTCAAACCTCCACTCCTTCTCCTCACCCTGCAAGGCCTCTGAAAATAAAAATCCCTTCCACTGCTGAGTGATTCAGCTCTGCCTTCGGCTTGAACAGGTCTCTCCCTCTGCAGAACAAGAGCTCGGCAGTTTAGCCACACAGCAGTCTCCCCCACAACTGTCCCCCAATCCTTCATCCACCCCATCACATGCAGGCGGGTCCCGAGTATGTACAAAAAGGTTCTGTTGCTAAAGCAGGTTTGACAAACACTCATCTAAGACTTGAGATCCTTTTGGAGAGTGTGTCTGGTGGACGCCGTCCCCGGGGTGGGCAGAGGCTTTCCGTGGATTCTGGCTCGCTTGCACTTGGATCTCGCGGACGCTGCTCTTGTTCTGCGGAGTTGGGCCTCTTAGGCAGACAGCAGGCTGAGTTCATCCAAGGGGTGGTGAGCAGCGGCACCTGCATCCTTTCCCCAGCAGAAGTCTCTTGTCCCAGAGGCAGAAAGCTAGGGACGTCGCAACATCACTTCAAAGCAAACAAATACAACAAAACCAAACTCAGACGCAAAGATGATGACCGATAAGAGAAGACACCGAGGGTGGGCCCTGAGGGAGTCTCCGGCTCTGTGCTCTTCTGGAATTGGCCTTCTTTTCTCCATGTTGCTGTTTCTGCCCGTGATGCTGGGGCTCACAGAGACTCCTCCTTCCTGGTCCTCATCAGCAGCAGAGCTATAGATGACTGTGGCCTTCCTACATCCTCCCCCCAGATGCCCAGCTCCCGACCCCCAAATCCTACTGGCTGTAGCAGTGAATATTTTTAAACCAAGATTCTGTTTTAATCATCATTTACATTGCTTTCTTCCACGAAGGCCACCCTCGTATACCTTCCCTAACCCACGAACCTGTTAACATTGTCTTAAGGTGAAATGGCTGTAAAATCAGTATTTAACTAATAAATTTATCTGTACTCCTCTTTTCCTTCTCCTCCCTCAGAGGTCAGTACTGGGAGGTTCGATGCTGCCCCATTGTAAGTCAGTCTTGAGCCATGGAGGCCCCTTCGCCGATCTGCTCACAGGCAGCATAAAGTCGTGTTCTCCTTTCCGTCGTTTATGGCAGTTGGCCAGGACTTCCTCTGTATGTGATGGTGGCTAGTGAAAAGAACACTCCTCCCAACCCTGCTACTGGGTAGTTTGCGACCTTGCCGGGTAACCTCTAGGCTTTGGTTTCCTAAGAGACGGTTGGGCCAGCTGTTAACTAAAGTTCCTAAGGCCCAACAATTGTTGCCTGATGAAGGGGGCCATTTCTAGAGCTTTCCTCGGGACTGGCAGGGGTGGGGCATGAGGCAGAGCGCAGGGCAGTGGTCCGTCCAGCCCATGTGGTTTAAGATCACCCTGACTTGTTCTTGCCCTCTTCCAATTCTTTATGGTTTGATCCAAAGAAGCTTCTAGAGAGGAGATGAAAACTTCTTTATCCATTTGGTTTCACCTGCTTGGGCGACAGAATTGCTTAATTGCTTCATTGTAAAGGTGGGCTGGGAGTGGGGGCGGGGGTCCCGAGGCACCTGTGGGACGGGACCCAGACAAGCAAACCTGCCCCCATTCAGAACTGTTGGTGGTGGCTGCCTCTTGCTCTCAACTGGCTTTTGCCAAACCCACGGGCAACTGGTGGCTTTGACCTTTCACAGCACCCCTAATGTTTCTGAGCAGGTAAGGGGAAAAAAACTAGGACAATATTTTATGTAAAATCAGAAAAGCTTTTAAATTTGCTAAGGAATAGTTAAACCTACCAAGTAGATGTCGATACCACCCAGAAGGACGCATAGCGGATGACTAACAACTATGAGTAACAAGAGATTCAGAAACATTAATAAAACCTACCAAGATTTATGCTGGCCTTGGGAAGTGCGTGTTTTCTGATGATGAAGTCTTTGCTGAAGACATTTGCCACTTCCCTTTTAGGAATGGCTTTCAGAACAGAATGACCTACACCACCAGATCAACCTCGTTCCTTAAAGAACTATAACTTGGCCCTTCCCCCCAGATGGTATTATGGAAGCCTGATTCAGCCTCCCTGCTCACCAGACTTGGTGGCTTCCCCAGATTGCATCCATCCTCAGGGGAGGTCAAGTTGCTACCAATCAGGATATTCTATTTTTTTTTAAAGATTTTATTTATTTACCTGATAGAGACACAGCGAGAGAGGGAACACAAGCAGGGGGAGTGGGAGAGGGAGAGGCGGGCTTCCCGTGGAGCAGGGAGTCCGATGTGGGGCTCGATCCCAGGACCCTGGGATTGTGACCTGAGCCAAAGGCAGATGCCCAACGACTAAGCCACCCAGGCGCCCCCAATCAGGATGTTCTAAAGGATGCAATTCCCCGAGGGGCGGGAAGTGGCTGGTGTGGAAGCATGGGGAGGAGGACACTTGCAAGGATGGCGTCATTACAATGAATGTCTGGTCTGATGTGAGTGAAGCAGACAGTTGATGTGTCCAGGTTAAGCAATCCTTCACATTCCCCTACTATCTCACCTCTTGCTAGGACAAAACCTTTGGAAGCACAGTTTAAAGTAACAGTCGGAGAGCATTTTTGAATGCCTTGAGTGGATGAGTTGTAGCACATTTAGCTGTGATTGTATCTGGCTTGAGATGACAACAGTGAAAATACATTTATATTCACTGAACCTATACCTAATGGAGCTGGGGTACGGGCTATTTGGATGAACCTCCCATCCTTCGAGCCTCCAGAACTTGACACACTTGAATACTGACTGCATGAGAAATCGCCATTTGGAAAGCTGCTTTTGGAGTGGAGGTGATTGGTCTTTTTGGCTTTTTAATCATTTTCTGACATTGGAGGCTACTCTTCAGATCGCATCCTTGCCTCGCTTGAAGCTAGAACACCAAAATGCCATCTCCCATAACAACCCCAAAAGGTGTCATCCCATAACCAAGCACCAGCCTCGGAGCTTCAAGGTTTAGCCTGGGAGCTGGAACCTGAATTCCCAAGGTCTCTCTGCCCCTGGACACTTCTTTCATTTCAGCCACTGGACACTTCTTTCATTTCAGCCACTGAAGCCTCTGTCCTGCAGCCTCCTGGGGCGTGCCGCTATTCTAAACCACACTGGCTCCAAGATGATTTTTCTCTCCGCTCCAGGTGCTGTGGCATGGTGCTTGCTAACAGACTATTCAGTAACAGGGAGAACTAATTCAAGTGAAGAGGACATTAAAACAGACCTCATTTTTCCAAGTCCAGTTTGCTTTTGGTCTGAAGCCTGGGAGCGTGTGGGTTCACAGTTTTATAGAGGTGATTGACAGCAGTGCTGGGGGTTACCAGGAACAGAAGAGTTCAGAAAAAGCCTGCTAGGCACCCAGCGCTCTTGGGTCCAGGCTCTAGAAGTGGTTGCAGGCTCCATGTGGGGAGGTCTTCAGATAGACGCAAAGACAGAGCTTCTCCTCCTGAGTAAAGGGTGATAAATGAGACCCCCTTGCCTACACACACACACATACACACACAAACACACCCCCTCCCTCCTGCAGGCTCCATGTGGGGAGGTCTTCAGATAGACGCAAAGACAGAGCTTCTCCTCCCGAGTAAAGGGTGATAAATGAGACCCCCTTGCCTACACAACACACACACACACACACACCCACCCACCCTCCTGCAGGCTCCATGTGGGGAGGTCTTCAGATAGACGCAAAGACAGAGCTTCTCCTCCTGAGTAAAGGGTGATAAATGAGACCCCCTTGCCTACACACACACACATACACCCCTCCCTCCTGCAGGCTCCATGTGGGGAGGTCTTCGATAGACGCAAAGACAGAGCTTCTCCTCCTGAGTAAAGGGTGATAAATGAGACCCCCTTGCCTACACACCACACACAAACACACACACACACACACACACACACACACTCCCTCCCTGCTCTCTGGTGATTGCCTTTTGTCATACAGCTGTGGCGGCCCCCTTTCACCTGAGAAACGAAGATGTGCCCGCCTCCACCCTGGGTTTATAAGAGGTTTTTAAATAGGGGCACCTGCTGTTCTAATCACTGAGCAGTGGCAGCTTTCTAACCAGTGAATCTCTGATTGCACGGAGTTAGTTCAGAAGCTCAGCACTAGTAAATAGTACTAGTAGACCATACAATAGACCCCTTACAATGACTGTAGTCTCTTGTGTGGCCTCTTCTTTAAGATGGATTTGCTCAAGTGAAATGGGTTCTAATTAGAGATGTAATAAAAATTAAATTTATCATTCCTCCCCTGTTCTTTTCCTTTAGAATGCAAGAAAATAAAAAATTGACACTATTTGTTATTTTTAGGGTTCTTGATTATCGGAGACGTTTGAGTTGGGATGGGGGACAGGTGTGGTAAGAAAAGACTGAAATAACAGAATCCTCAGTAGACCTAGGAGCAGGCCTCTCTGCTGAACAAAGCAAGAGGTAATGTGCTTTACATCCTAAAGGTGTTGCTGTATTATTCAGAGAATCCCGCAACAATGCTATAGTGATGTGGGTGGGAAACACTTTCAGGAGGTCAACCCATTTTCCCCCTGGCTCTGTGACATCCTTGACAGCCGTTTCCTGGTGCAGCTCACCTTGCAGATTTCCTTAATATGTCTTCCCCCTTACCACGGCCGAAGTCCCCTTTACCCCCCACCCCGCCCCTGCTAGAATTCTCATGATTTGAAATGGTTTTACTTACATAATTATTTCGGCTTTTCCTCATTTTTCATAGATCAAAACCAAAACCACATGTAAATGACACCTCTGTTTTTAAAAGAACAAAGACATAACTGCTAACTGCTAACAAGTGCCAGATAGTTGATACACTGAGCCGATACTGTTCCCACCCAACGCAAAGACATTCAATTTGGTTTGCTTTATGATCTTGGTATGGCAATTGGATGGATGTTTACCTTGGGGTATCCTGACTAATTAAAAATGGCTTGTGGGTTCCTATTGGGTGAATCTCTGGGCCCCAGGGGCTCTAGAAGAGGACCACTGTCATATACTCCTGTATCGGATTCCGTACCCATCTCTACCCATGCTTCTGCTTCCTCAAACACTGAGGGAGGAAGTCTACCAGAAAGAGCCAAAGATGGACTCTGAGGTTTCAGAATTGTAGTTCAGTTTGGCTGTCATCTAGCTGCATGACTTGGGGCATTTCACCAAACGGCTCTTCACCTCAGCATCTTTGTCTGTAAAATGTTTTGGACCTAGGGGATCTTCAAGGTCCCTTTGAGTTCTAAGCAGTCGTGATAGCTCCAATAATCTGAAATTATTCTCACCATATCTGGTATCATACAAGGAACACAAGTTATCTTTCCTTTTTGTCATGTGAGAATGGTCAGGAAAAGACCTAAAGACATTATTCCCCAGAGACACACCGAATTAGATCTAGCATCCAGGACACTGGGCCACGAGCTCTGAAATTATAAGGAAGTTGTTCACCTCTCAATTTTTTTTTAAAAAAGATTTTATTTATTTATTTATTTATTTATTTATTTATTTATTTGAGAGAGAGAAAGCACAAGCAGAGGGAGAGGGAGAAGCAGACTCCCCGCTAAGCAGGGAGTTCAAAGTGGGGCTCGAACCCAGGATCCCAGGATCATGACCTGAGCTGAAGGCAGATGCTTAACCGACTGAGCCACCGGACACCCCACCTCTCTCTCAATCTTAGATATTCTTGTTGGTACACGTGAAACCTCAGGGTCCCAATATCTGAAAATGCTCCTTCTGGAGACTCCAGATTGATTTTCTTCAAATGGAAAACTATACCTTTTTCTTGTGACCTAAGTAATGAGCTTTAAAAATGTTTCAGAAGCTATACATTCAGTAAGTATTGTCTCACAAAGTAGCCATCTTGGAGACTACTTATTCTAATGTTGCTGCCATTGCAAAAACATTGGAATTCCCTTTAGATGCCATCCAGAATCTGCTCATATCAACCTAAGAGAACCAGGCTAATGGCTTCTTAGCCACGTTTAGTTTGGGGCCCCAAGTATAGAATTACATCGCCTAACCAATTTTTCTCACCAATCCTTTCTAAATGCCCCTCATAGGATAGGAATTTGTTATCAGTGAAGAGCTATTGAGGAATGTTCTGTAGACTCTGAAAGCTGATGCCAGCAAACGAAGCAGGGGAAATGGGAAACACTTTCAGGTCTTCTGTGGCTGCCACACTGCAGAGGAAAGTGTGCTATACGTTTTCTTGGGGCGCCTGGGTGGCTCAGTTGGTTAAGCGACTGCCTTAGGCTCAGGTCATGATCCTGGAGTCCCGGGATCGAGTCCCGCATCGGGCTCCCTGCTCAGCAGGGAGTCTGCTTCTCCCTCTGACCCTCTTCCCTCTCGTGCTTTCTATCTCTCTCTCAAATAAATAAATAAAATCTTTAAAAAAAAAAATCCAGTTGTTCCCCCAAGGACAGCGCACTGAGGAATTCCTGGTAGCTTCTTCCTTACAGGAGGATATGGGTCCGGAGTCTGCGGGAATACAATGGGGTTACAAGACACAAGCTGCTAAGGATTTGGGGAAGTTAGTATTGCCAAGGTTTCCAATAGCTGGCCTGGGAGAGTTGAACTGAAAGAAAACTGAACCCTGGGAGGAAAAAGGATACCTGGATTGGGAGGTCATGCCTAACTCATTTACAGATCATGAGAGGTCTCAGGGATCGTCAGGTCCAAGCCCTCCTGTCCCACCATTGTTGAGGGAACTCACCCCAAGCCATGGAACTTGGTGTGAGGAAGAGCCACTGTTAAGCGCCTACCCTTCAAGAGAGGCTCTGAGACTGGCATCACATCAAGTCCTGTCCTTGCAGTTAATGCACTCACCATGGGGGGGCACCAGCGTTCTCCTCGCCTGTGACCACCAGACTGACTATAAAAGCCTGATTTTCAAGCCATCTGAGGTCAGCCCAGAAATTGTGCTAAAAAAAGCACCTACTGCTTATTAAGCACTAGTGCAGGTCAGACTCTGCTAGTAGCTTTATATATCCACATAAAACATGTATATGTCCTCACAGTCACGTTTCAAACATGAAGAAGTTACGACCCATGGATTTTAAGTAACTCACTGAAGGTCACAAAACTCATATGCCTCTAGAGACATATAAAACCTCCTCTCTGTGGTTCAGAATCCCCAAACTCTTTCTTTGGCAATCTGATTCCTCACCAGATTCTACTGCTTTTCTCCTTCACTTCCTTTTTCGCTGTCTTTGAAGTGGTTGCATTTTAATCGATTTTCATGTTCACTGTAACTTTAATCCTGTTGCAGAAATGAGGGACACAAAGGAAGATGGAGGAAATTGGTTCCATGGCCCTTAGAAAGGTAGATGCTGATGCCCAGTCTCCTGTGGGCTTTAGGGTTGCCCCCAATCCAGGAGACAATAAAAACTAAAACATACTGAACCCTATGCCAGGCCCAGTGCTAAGAGATTTATATGAATCACCTCAATAAATCCCACAGGGGCACAGTGAGGTAGGCATTTCACTCCATTTTACAGATGAGGAAACTGAGGTACAGGAAGGGAAATTACTTGCCCAAGCTCTGCCCACTGAGTGGTGAGATTTGGACTCAGGGAGTCTGATGCAGAAACAATATTCTTCACTGCTATTCTACAGAGTTACTCTTCTAGGAGTTTGTCCTTCCTCAACCTTATTGTCTTAGAATGATGATTACATACACTTGCATAGCACTCTACAGTTTATGAGTGTTTTGCATCTAATATCTCATTTAATCATTCATTCAAAGAATAGTTATTATTGAGTGCCTACCAACTGCCAAGACCTTGCTGCTTCAAGTGCAGTCCCTGGACCAGCAGCAGCAGCAGCAGGACCTGGGAGCTGGTTAGAAAGGCAAAATCTTGGGTCCTGCTAGAAACCTGAGTCAGAATCTTCATTTAAATAAGATTCCCAGGTGATTCATGGGCATATTAAAGTTTGAGAAACCCTGCTTTTTGATATTTCCACGATAAAGCCATATATATCTCACTTAAAACATGGATACAGAGATACCGTGACTTGTCCTCCCACAGCTAACAATGAGGCAGTATAACATGAAGAGCTTACAACAGTGCTTTGCCCATAGTATGTGCTCAACAAATAGCTATTATTATAAATGACAGAGTCAAGCTGTGAACTATTTGGTTTCTTAACTCCTCTAGTCCTCTGGCCTCTGCAGAGCCTTCTGAGGCATCAGGCGATTGTTCCAAGGGGTGAGGCAATGATTGTGGCTCTGGCTTCCTTCCCAGCTCAGCCGGGGTCTGGAGAATGGGCATTTAGGAGCTCCAGAAGCTGCTGTTGGTGTATACCTGATCTTACAGCAGGGGGCATCCCAGTGGGGATGTTGTTCTCCAGAAGAGGCCAGATATAGAAAGAGGGAGACCAGAAGGTTCTCAGGGGATCCCTCCTGGAAACTCAGCACCTGCAAACCTCATCCCCTCTGTCTCCAGGGTCCCGCTGTGTTGAGGCACTTCAGTACCCCATGCCTTCCTAGCCTTCCTCTCCTCACTTCCTGCCCCTATTCCCTTCAGGCCACCTGCACTGCTCCCTCTTACTCAGCAGGACACAACCTGAGAAAGAATGGGGCCTGTCTCCTGTGCTGACCAAGTCCTCCTCAGGACTCTCTCTCGGGTCCATGGTGCAGGCTACCCTGGACAGTTTCCGGAACACCTCCTCTGGCACTTCCCCAAACTTCCCTGCCGTCTTCTTGGAAACGGCTGGCTCCCCATCCTCTTCGGAGAACTAACAATGGAACATAATTATTTCTGAATAGTCTACCCTTTTATCTGTATTACTCTCTGAAACAAAAATTTAAATCTTGCTTTTAAAGCAAAACTTGCTTACGGCAAAATCAATAATATTCAAATAATATAAAGTGAAAGAGCCCACTCTTTTAAAACTTTCATAAGAATTTCTTGACCACCTGTTTCCAAAATGACCTGAGCTTGGAAGCCGTTCAAAATCAACTCAACGACTTTGCCCGAACTACCCAAAGTTCTATTCAGTAACCTCACTTTTCTCCATAACCTCCTATCCCCGTAAGACAATAAACGTTCCCAAGGCGGTCTGCATAGTCTCCTCCCTGTGCGGGACTTCTGTCCCTCCGCCCTTCTCCCACTTTCTCCCGCCCCCGACTCCCACGTGCGGCCGCGGCCCCGCCTCCAGCGACCCTCTCAGGGGAGGAGCCTCGCGCCCTCCGCAGCCAGAGGGGGGCCCCCGCCCCGCCCTCGCCCCGCCCCAGGGGCGGAACCCCGAGCCCTTGCCCCCCCCCCGAAGGAGGAGCCTCGCACCACCCCTCCCCTCCCCAGCTCTGGACCTATCCCGGCTGCCTGCTCCCGGGACCGTTCCGCGTCGGTCCCCGGGCGGAGTGTGTGTGGTCGCCGGCCGGCTGAGGCCTCTCCGCCCGGCGCTGGAGGCGGCGTGCGGACCTCGCCGCGGGGCTGGGGCGAGCCGAGGGGCGCGGGCCCGGAGCCGGTGAGTGCAGCCGTCCGCTCCTCGCCGTGGCTCGCGCGGGCGGGGAGAGGGGAGCAGGCCGGGGGAGGATGGTACCTGCTACCGGCGAGACAGCGCAGTGACCGAAGAAAGAAGCAACCCTTACGGAACCGCACCCCGGGCCCAGTTTTTTGGTTGGTTGGTTTACCACTGTGCCGCCCAGCATTTACCCCGGGGGGCCTCCCCCAGTGCCCCTCAGCCGTGTCTCCGCGGCCCCCCATCTCCCCGCCTCACCCCCGAGAAAGACTTGGGGAAAGCAGCCATTTTAGAGTCCCTGGGGGAGTGAGTGGTTAGCCGTAGAAAAGAGGACGCCCTGACGCCCCTCTCCTCTGCGCTTTGAGGGTGGTCCGCTAGGGAGCCAGTAGCCAGCCTCACTGCCGTCAGCCTCTTGAGGGAGGGGCTTGAGGGTAGGCAAGACGTCCCCATCAAATCCTGTGTCCTTTCCGCTTCTACTCCCTTAAGGCTAGGGCAGAGACAACTTGCTGCCCCGTTTTAAATCTCCATAAGTATACCTTAAAAAATGTGCCCCTGTGTTTAAGAGATTTCAAGGATTAGGTGCATTGCAGGTGAAAGCTTTTCCAGAAGCTTCCTCTGTTGGGGATGACCTGGACACTGAGAGCTGGTTGAGGTTAAGGTGGTGGGCTGCAGTCAGGCAAGTCTTGCAACCCAGCACTTGTTAGTATGGCCTCTCCAGTGTCTTGAAGGTCTGATTGGGGGAAACAGCACTACTTTTTAGCGAGTATAAAGCACCATCAGATGTAAAATACACATTATTGAATGTGCTGCTAATTCTAGTATATGTGCTGCCGAAGCGAGCACTGTGCTGCTAATTCAACTATGAGAAAGCATGGATATAGTAAGAGGCATCCTCATTTTAGAGATTTTTAATTGTTTTTTAGAATTGCAGAACTATGGTAGCTACCACTCTGCCAGGTACCTACTTAGTTCTTTGGGTTTTCATCATAACTTGCAGAGTCATGTGCAGGCGAGGGAACAGGTGGTTAAGTAGTGTGCCCTGGGTAAGGGGGGTGGGGCGGGACTCTTAGCTTCAAGAAGCCAGGGTACGGACCACTCAGACTCAAACATCTGAATGCTTTATACATAAACTCTGAGTGAACTTGGATGATTGGGGGCAGAGAGAGATGGGAGTCACAGACAACCATACATCAGGGTTAAAACAACCCCAGCTGTTTTTGGTTACCAGGGATAATTATCTGCTGTTAAGCTGGAGGTGGCCTCTCCGTACTCTGAACTAACATGACCCTGTGTCTCCGCTTGTCATGGTTCTGAGCTCTGCATTGTCATCACATACACAGTGCCCCTACTAGTGGGGTGGTCCTGGGAAGACCAGATCCACATCTGTGTCTCTGTGTCCCTTACAGTCTTCTCTTCTATCACCATTTCTCCTGTAAAAGTGGGGAGATAAATTAGCGGCAATGGGTTGGAATGATTGGTATTGCTGACGGGGGAGGACAGAGAAATCGTGGAGAGGAGTTTGGGGCCCACAGTGCAGGCAAAAAGTACCCAGGGCCAGCTCCCATTCAGACTGCCACAAGATCAAAGTGGAGGGCTCCCAGGACATGATACCTTAGCACACTGTTGGTGCTTAATAAGTTTGCTGCATGAGGAAAGGTGAGAGGGGCTGGAAAGGGAAACCATTACTGGGAAACCGACCCACACCCTGTCACAGCTGGTCTTTCTCTTTGATCTGACCCCTCTTCTCAGCCACACCCCCTTTTTGGCCATATATACTTTTCACGTCGATGGCAAAAACATAGCTGCTGGAAAGCTTAGAACTTGGCACCCGCCAGAAATGCTAGAGAACTAGCGAAGTCAGTGGCTTCTTTTCCCCATTTCTGCCTGCAGGGATGCCGGAAGGACCATCTGTGAGGAAGTTCCACCACTTGGTCTCCCCCTTTGTGGGGCAGCAGGTGGTCAAGACAGGGGGCAGTAGTCAGAAGCTGAACCCTGCCAGCTTTCAGTCGCTGTGGCTCCAAGACACCCAGGTGAGTTCATCGGGCTTGGTTGATACCTCACGTAAATGGGCTGGCTCTGTCGGCACGTCCCATGACTCCCTTAGAATTTATCTCAAGACTTTGCTGCCATCACTTCCTTGAGCCCAAGACAACCCGCCAGGACCCCCACGCAGCTCTTCCTCTTTAGGTCTGGTGTTTCTCAGCCCGAATTGGGCATCTCGGTGGCCTATGGAACTAGAAAAAGTACCCTGTGCACGCAAAAGCTGGAGATTCTGATTCAGAGTCTGCAGTGATTTTGGTCAGTACAGTGGACTCTGATGTGCACCTGTGGTTGGGAACTAGCAAGCGCGTGAGGAAAGAGCGTAGCCTTCTGATCTCGATTCTGGTGGCCTCATCCATGCCCTGAGCATAAGGCAGAATTGCCTCACGGGGCTCCCAGGGCTCCTGTGGTCTGATTTGTGCCTCCTCCTCTAGGCCCGCTTCTTCACCTGTCCCAAATTTCTCTTGTAGTCTTGTTGAACTACTGGGGGCTCCTCTACCAATCCTTCTTGCCCACGGTTTTGGCATGCTGCTCCCCTGCTTGGGCAGATCTTCCTTTTTTCCCCAACTCTGCCCCCATTCCCGTCCTTTTCTTGTGAGCATGGTAATTCCTTGTCTTCAGGATTTGGCCTCGCCATCACATCCTCTGAGAAACCTGGCCTGCCTGCTCTAAGGGTGGGGAGAGACTTCTCTGTGCTTGCTGGGCACCCCATACTTCCTCCTAGTGGATCCTCAGTGCTGAACTTGTCCTGCTGGTTGAATGGAGGAGAGGAGCAACAGGTCAGGGCCAGTGCCCTCCTCAGTATTGTATGCCTAGCCCTTCGCTGAGTGCTGGCTCTTAGGGAGTGTATATATGATAATTGGCTATAGAAAAAATAAATTAACTCTGCTACTGAGCTGTGTGCTCCTAAGCAAGTTACTTAATCTCTTAGCTGTAGTTTCTGCAATTGTAAAATGGGGATCGATCACTTAGCAGTTAAAATTGTATTAAACAGACTTTATGCTTGGCACAGGTGCTCAGTAAATGCTGATTCTCTTTTTTTCCACCTTTCCTTCACACACACCTCGTGGGTTATAAAACCATTCTTGGTTAGAACTGAAAGAGGTCTTCTAGACCTTCACTGACATTTTCTACATTTGGAGGTGGGGGCTCAGAGAGGGAGAACACTCAACCCAAGTTGCCATGGCTAGCTGGAGTCCAGGCCACCTGACCTCCGGGTCTGTGCTCCTAACGTGAGAGCTTTTGGACTCTTGGACCAGACTACTGCAAGGTTTGCAGGGGCAGGATTAGATCCTTTCATCTCTGGAACCCCAGCACTTAGCCCGAGCCTGTCCCAGAGCTGGCTCACAGAGAATGTTTACGGACTGGCTGAGTGGACAGAAGAATGTGTGGACAGGGAGCCTTGAGATGGAACTGGGAGCTGGTTTCCTAGTAAACCAAGGCAGAAATTGGTGTGGGAGCCCAAGAACCCTGAGGGACACGGCTTTGGGGAACTGCCTGGCATGTGGGGGCTAAGTTCTCATCATTGTGCTCCCTTCTTTGCACCTCTACCTCCTAAGGATCTGAGAGTTGAATTTGGAAAGTAAGACCTGTATCTACAACAGGGGAAAACCGTTAGGTAACAGTGAAGGGGGAAGGAGGGGAGCATACAATTAAGGCCTATTTGAAGGCCTCAGCAGAGAAGAGGTCCTTGTAGCCTGCAGTAAAAGACTTCATGGGGGTATCTTGGTGGCTGAGTCAGTTAAGCGTCTGCCTTCAGCTCACGCCGGGTCCTGGGATCAAGCCCCGAGTGGGCTCCCTGCTCAGCAGGGAGTCTGCTTCCCCCTCTTCCTTTGCCCCTCCCCTCCACTCCTGCTCTCTCTCTCTCTCTCTCAAATGAATACATAACATCTTAAAAAAAAAAAAAAAGACTTCATGAAGGAGGTGGGTTCTGAGTTGGATCTTGAAGGATGGAGGATTTAGATGGACCAAAAGGAAAAGAAAGCATATTTCAGGTTTGTGAGGCAGTTACAGACAGGCAAATGGAGAGAGAATGAGCACAGTGGGCTAATGAAGCAGGGAAGAGATTGGCTCCACTCTGTGCCACCTGTTTTTCTGGCAAGTTCCTTCCTTGTCTTTCCTTGTTGGTTCTCCAGTTTCTGTAGTGGAATTGTGTTTGACTACTCATAACGGATTCAGAAGAACAGCTTATTCATGTCTGGAGTTTGTGGGTTTATTTTTTTCTCCCTTGACTTAATGGGAAGTCCAGAGTGGTATGGGAGCAACACGAGATCACTGGGCACCAAGCTCCTTTGGCTTTTCCCTCTCTGGGATGTGACCCTCATCCTCATGGTGATAACATGGCAGCTGAGATTCCAGCCATTACGTTCTAGGCAGGAAGAAAGAGGAAGGAAGGGAGATAGGGCAGAAAGGACCTGGAAGCTGGTTCACCTGTTTCAAAGAGCTTTTCTGGAAACTACATTTGACTATTCCTGCGTATATTTCACTGGCTGCCCCATCTCTAAGGGAGTCTGGGAGACAGAGATTTTTAGCTGAGGACATTGAGGTCCCCCCCCAAATCAGTAGCTGAGGTTACTGAGGTCCCTTTAAATGGGTAGATTTGTTAGTAGGGAAGAGGGGAGAGGGATATTGGGAGGTAGTCAGTAGTCTCCTTACACCTGGTCCATTATCTTCTCCTTTGTTATACCCTCTCATTTTGCAAAGCACACATTCCAGGAGCTGCCTGAGAAAGAGTGCATGGGGATAAGTATTGAGTCCTTACATGGCTGTTAATGTTTCTGTTCGATCTTAGTTTGGGTGATGTGGGAGCTCTAATCCAACCCCCCTACATACTTAAGACTTTTAACCAATCCTCCAATTTTTAAAAAATATATAACAGCTTTACTGAAATATAATTCGCATAACATACAATTCATCCACTTAAAATGTGCAATTCAGTGGCTTTTAGTGTCTTCACACAAAGTTGTACAACCATCACCACAGTTGATTTTAGAACATTTTCATCTCTCCCGAAAGAAACCTTGTTCCCATTAGCAGTCACTCCCCATTTCACCCCTGCCTTCCGCCCCTAGCTCTAAGCAACCACTAACCTATTTTCTATTTCTATAGATTTGCCCTTTTTTTGGACATTTCACATCCATGGAATCATGCAACATGTGTTCTTTTGTGACTTCTTTTACCGAATATAATGTTTTCAAGGTTCATCCATGTTGTAGTGTGTGTCAGAATTTCCTTCTCTTCAAATACTGAGTTTCCAGAGGGAACGAGTGGAGCCTTCCTCATCTGTATGCCCCTCAGAGCCTAGCACACTGCCTGGCACATTGTAAAAGCTCAATTAATGGTCAGTTAACTGAAGTAAAAACGATGTCCCAGGAATTTAAAAGAGGGACAGTAGAAATTGCCATAGTTGGAGAGGACAGAAAGATGTCCTGAGGTAGGCATTTTTGACCTGGTAAATGTTTTGACCCTGAGGGGCATTTGGCAGATATTTTCATCAGCATTATACCTACATTAGTGAATGTGCATCGGGAAAGTATTTTCTGGAGCAAGTTCTATTATGCCCACTTAATTCTTGCTCAGTTTTTTATGTAGCTCAGTTAAGCCATTTCTAATATGTGGCAGCAAACTGCTGTGCTCACATTTGCAGATGAGTTATTCTGGAATTATTTAGAAAGGTAATGCCTTCTTTTAGGGAGAGGATTTCAAAGGACTGCTACAGTTACAATTTTTATACTGATTGACAAATTGGAGATCATATCAGAGCTATGATCTCTAAGTATGTACTTTTGGAGGCCAAAAAAGTAACACAGGCATTTCCATTATTGATGCCAGGTGTTTTGGTTTTGAAAGGCTGCCTGAATTTCAGATCATGCAGAACAGGCTCGTCCTGGAATCTGGATATGCACATTACATAGTAGGGCTAGCAGTGTGAAAACAGAATACAAAGCACGTGGAACATTCTTTTACATACATTTCCTTTTCTCATCTTCTTTTCCTGAAATTGTTTTCACTGGGATGAGGTGAATTCTTTTCCTTTGTACGTTTTATGTGCATTTTATGGTTTGATCCATTGATCAGTTTTTATGTCAATATTCGATTTCTGTTGATAGTCATTTTTTTATTGTGAGTTTTCTTGTGGCCATTTCTTCTACCAAATGCAATTTCAGTGAGTGAGAGGTACCAAATTTTACAGTGTGTAAAATACATTGTGTGTTTACAGTATATAAAATGCAGTACTTTAGCTGCTGTCAATTTGTGGATGGTGCATGTGCATGTGTGTGCGTACAAGCTAATTATTTCTAACAAAGAAAAGGTATTATGAATTAAATACAGGATGACAATTTGTATTTATATCTCAGCTAATCCATGAAAACATTGGGAGCATTTCCCCTCAGTTATTCTAGGGTGGTCCTGCTGTCTAGCATGGATCTATGTTACTGCTAATCCAATTCTTCTTGCTTTCAATCACTTTGAAAACCATGTGCTAACTGCCCACACCACTGGAGCAAAGAGCAAAAGGCAGGTCCAAAATACTCGGCTTCGGGAAGCTTCCTCGAAGAGACAAGAGGGGATAAGTTTGCATTAGGATAAACATCTGCATATACTTCTTCTAGCATTCCCTGAGGCTGTCTTAGACCATTCACACTATTATAGCAGACCACCACAGACCAGGTGGCTTATAACCAACAGAAATTTATTTCTCACAGTTCCAGAGGCTGGAAATCCAAGATCAGACAGCCTGCCAGATTCGGCATCTGGTGAGAGCCTGCTTCCTGGTTCATAGACAGCCATGTTCTTGCTGTCCTCACATGGTGCAAGGGGCAAGGGAGCTCTCTGGGACCTCTTTCATAAGGACACTAATCCCATGTGTGAGGACTTCACCCTCATGACCTAATTTCCTCCCAGAGGCGCCACCTCCAGATACCATCACATTGTCGGTTAACTTTCAACATACACCTTTGGGGTGGCGGGGAGAGGGGCACAAACAAGTCCATAGCAAAGACTTAGATCGTGTTCATTTTTTTCTAGGTCCATGGAAAGAAATTATTCCTTAGATTTGATCCAGATGAAGAACTCGGGTCCCTTGGCAACATCTCACTGCCAGAGTCTCTAGAAAAAGGAGAGAGGAAGGGAGAGGCTCAGGACCAAAAGCAGGCCTCAGGGCCCAGCAGCCGGAAAATCTCGCAGCAGTCCTCTCAGTCCGTGGAGCTTGTTGCTCCCAGTGGAGACAGTGGTGTGGAGCATTGGCAGGGAGACACGCCTGCAGGAGGTCCTGAGAGGTGGCTGCAGGTCAGCTTTGGTTTGTTTGGCAGCGTTTGGGTGAACGAGTTCTCCAGAGCGAAGAAAGCAAACAAGAGGGGCGACTGGAGGGACCCCACTCCCAGGTAACGGCATGGTTGGGCAGGCTGTGGGCTGTGGCTCTGCAGGGTCTGTGGCGTTTCACACGGCCCCCGTGTGCAGGCTTCGGGTTGGGCTCTGTGGGCTCACGCAGGTGGGTATCCCACTGCTCTCCGGCAGCCCACTTCCTAGGAGACAGTACCCACGATAGAAAGTAGACTGTGGTCTGCATCCACAGAGGGGTGGAAACATACTGGGGCAGCTTAGTGAAAGGGAAGAACTTTCCCAACAAGCATGGCTCTTGAGAGTGGGATGGCTCTGAAGGACATTTTATGGCTTGACTAGTGCACTCTGAATTTAGGGACAGAATTGTCTTAGTTTTCATCTGCTATTGGTGAGAAGACTATCTTGGTGTGTGGAACTCTGTCCATGCTCAGGATTATTACCTCAGTGTAGATTCCCAGAGGAGTCATTGCTGGTCACTGAGAATGAACGCCCTTACGGCCTTGCCTAAGTGCTCATTTAGCTGAATTCTTAACTAGTTTTGAGTTGTTTGTATACTTTGTATCAAATTGTAGAGACTTTTGTACATTGTGTGTTAATCTTTGTGATGTGTGATGCCAATGTTGTTTCAAGTCCACCTGTGTCCTTTGACAGTATTTGTGCCTTTTGGCATTCAAGATCTAAACATTTTTTAGGGGCGCTTAGTCGGTTAACTGTGCAACTCTTGGTTTCGGCTTAGGTCACGATCTCATGGATGGTGAGATGGAGGCCCTCGTCGCGTCGGGCTCCACTTTCAGCAGGGAGTCAGCTTGAGACTCTCGCCCTCTGTCCCTCCCCCCACTCATGAGCTCCTGCTCTCTAAAATAAACCTAAAAAAATTTTTTTTAATTTCTATTTTTAAAAATGTTTATATAAGTATAGTTGACATCAATGTTATCAGTTTCAAGTGTAGAACATAATGATTCAACAATTCTAGACATTACTCAGTGCTCACGATAAATGTAGTCATCATCTATCACCAAAGAATGTTATTACAGTATTATTGACCATATTACCTATGCTGTACTTTTCATCCCTGTGACTTATTTTATAACTGGAAGTGTATGCCTCTTAATCTTCTGTATCTATTTAGCCCATCTTCCCACCCCCTGGGATTTTAAATTTTTATGTAGTCAGTGGTCGGTATTTTCCGCGATAGCTCTTGAGTTTCCCCTCTTGCTAAAGAAGGCCCCTTCTACCTAAAAGCCACACTACTCTTCCATTTCTAAAGTTTCCTAATGATATATTTTTATGTTCAGAACTGTAGTGTGTGTTTACAGTATGATGTAAGGCTAGTAAGATGCTTTGGATGTAAAGATAACTGAGACTGGATTAAGTGGGGAGGAGACTTTTTGGCTCACATAATTGGAAGTTTCGAGCGAGGATGGGCTATGGTGTTGACTCAGTTCCCAGCTTTGGGCTTCATGTCCTTGTGATTCTTCTGTCTGTGCCTTTTCCCACATGTTGGTTTCGTCCTTAGACCAGCAGCAAGAGGCTCTTGCAGTTCCAAGCCTTAGGTCCACACAGGAGGAGAGAAGAGGGGAAGAGAGGGTCATTTCTGGAAGTTCAGATGAGCAAGGAGAGCTTTCTCAGAAACTCTCAGCAAACCTTTCATGGCCTGAAGCTGGTTCATGGACTGATTGCTAAATTAGTCACCAGCTAGGGCAGTTGAAATGCTCTTCACCAACAAGCCTCATCCCTAACTGGGTTTTCAAATTTATTGTCACAGAGTTAACACATATCATTCTCTTATTTTTTAAATCTCTTGTGAAGTTATGTCTGCCTTTTTCTTCTTCATGTTCTTTATTTTCCTTTGTCACCTACACCCCTTTTTTACTTACTTAGGCTTACCAGAGTTTATCAACTTTGTTGGTCTTTCAGATAAATAATATCAGTTTTATATACTCTATATGGGAAGAGTATATTCTAATTTTCCGAATGTTTGAGTGGGGTCATCGTTTTGTTTTGTTGTCATTATTTTTATTGGATTGTGATCAGGATATCAGCCTGTAAATTTTCTACTTTGGGTATCTATTAAAATTTGCAGTCAAACACATCACTGATCTTTTCTTACATTTTATGTACATAAATGAAGGTAGTATGTTCATAAAAAGTAAAATCTTATGTAACTATTAAGAACAGGTTATTGCTTTGATAATTCAAACTCTCTATCCTTGCTTGTTTTTTGTTTACTTAATATGCCAAACGTGGGAAGAAGAGCATTAAAATCCTCTAGAGTGATTGTGGTTTATGAGGTTTCTCCTTGTCTTTCTAGTGTGTTTATATGTTTGCTGCCCTGTTATCCAAAGCGTCAAGGTCTCTGACTTCTTTGCAGCTTTATTAAATGACATACCCTCGGGGCGCCTGGGTAGCTTAGTCAGTTAAGCATCCGACTCTTGATTTGGGCTCAGGTCATGATCTCAGGGTCGTGAGTTCGAGCCCTGTGTCAGGCTCCACGCTGAACATGGAGTCTGCTTAAGATTCTCTCTCCCTCTCCCTCTGCCCCTACCATCCACCTCCCTCACTCTCTCTCGCTCTCAAAAAAAAAAAAAATAATAATAATAACAGATCCTCTATTTGCCTTTGGTCTTGAATTCTGCTTTTCTTGATGGTAATAATGCCACTCTGTGTTTGGCTGGCCCACTTGGTCTTTTTCCACTTAGTGTGTGCTTTATAGGTGTGCTTTTTCACCTATTTTAGGTATATTTCTTACAAACTGCAAGTATCTGGCTTTTGTATCTTTTTAAACTCAAACCAAAACTCTTTGTTTTGAAATGAGGTAACTGTGGTATTTGGATTTTCTTCCATTTGCCATTTTATTATACCTTGTTTCTTTTCTTCTGTTGGATTTCTCAAGTTTCTTTCTTTCCCCCTCCCCCCCGCTTTCTTAACTCCTGTTGAGTATAAATTGCAAGTGCTGCTATTCATCTTGTTTTTGTTGGTAATAATGTTTCCTTTAAATTAGACCCGTATTTTTTATTCGTTAATAACAACCAAATGTTTAATAACATTAAACTAATAACATGTCTCCCTTTTTATTGAAACTGGTTTTTTGCTCCTTTCCTTCATCCTTCTGAGAGGAGGCCTTTGAAATATTTCTACTTCCTCACTTCTTTTGTCTTGCCCACCCTATCTCCTGCGTTTGCTGAGATAGTTTAGAATTTTAGTTCCAGATTGTTGACTGTATAATATTATGTGTAATTAAGTTAATTAACATTAAAAACACAGTAACATGTGTATCTTATTTGTTTTTATTCAATTTTGAAACCCTTTATTTTTTGTGTGTGTAATGGTTATTAACAAGTCTATTTAATAAGGTTAGGATTCCACTGAAAAGCAGGGTTTTCATGAAAGCCTTCAGGGCTCCGCTGTATGTCATATGGCAGGGAGTAGCACTGGATTTGGCGTGAGACTTAATGACTTTATTTACAGCCTTCAAGGAATCCTCCTCGGTGGGGATTTTTCGCCGTGCTCTTACGGCAAGCATACCAGCTTCTGTGCAGATGCTTCTCATCTCAGCACCAGAGCGATTTGGGCACAGTCACACTAACAATTCAAATCTGACATCTCTTTCAATGCTCATTGAATGAGCACGAATCTGAAAAATGTGAGTCCGACCCTCTAGATCGGGTAAGCTAAACGTAATCTTTCTGTCCAGTCTCCCTGGCCTCATCAGTGCTGGATCCAAAGCGTCAGGTCTCGTGGTGGCCATGAGCCCTTTAATGTTACCTCGAGGATCAAAACTGTCCAGTTGATTGATCAGTTCCAGCATCGTTCTCTGCACTTCATTGTTTCCTTCAGCAGCATCCTCAGAATGAGCCCCTCCGATAGCATCAATTTCATCGAAGAAGATAAGGCAGGCTTTTTTTGTTCTGGCCATTTCAAAGAGTTCATGAACCATTCGAGCCCCCTCACCGACATTCTTCTGTACAAGTTCAGATCCAGTAACTCGAAAAGCAAGCATCAGTCCTGTTAGCAACTGCCCAAGCACAGTGTCTTGCCTGTACCTGTGGACAAAGAGCAGCACACCCTTGGTAGGCTCAATGTCAAGGTTAACAGTAATGAAGTAATGGGGTTTCAACTACTACTCAAAGTTTCTGAATCTGTTCCTTAGAGCCAGCCACATCGATGTATGTGACATTAGGTTTTTCCTCCACCTGCATCATGGTTGACTGTTGGATCAGTCTTAAGAGGCAGCAGAGTGTGAATTTGATACTTAGTTCTGTCCATGCCAACTCTCATTCCTTCTTCAGTGTCTACAGGTGCTACCTGTTCACTAAGGTCCCCCACAAACTGGGCAAACTGCTTCACGTTGATAATGTGCTTGGGGTCCTCCAAGTCCACACTGATTCTCTTTGTATACCTCGCAACCCTCAAAGGCTGTTCACTCTGCAGTGTTTGCTTTTCTGCAGCCAAATCCCAGAGCGCCGGTGGGGCCAGGCCAGTATCAGATTCTTTCATATCAGTGAGCTCACGAAGCTTCTTAAGAGGTTGGCACAGGTCATCTTCAACCTGCTTCATCTGCCTAGAGTCAGTGCTCTGACCATACGTTTCAGCAGGGCGATATTCCCGTCATCCAGAGCTCAGATGGGCTTCTAGTCCTCCTCATGCTCTGTTTTCCGCTGATCAGTACTGAGATAATCCGGCATTTTAGGAGCGCCAAGTGCCTCAGCTCCTTAGTGATCACACAGCACCTCTCGCTTCCAGGGGTCAACACGGGTATCTTTTGATTCAAGAATTCCTTCCTAACACGTTACAGTTCTCAGCTGTGCTATCATCCAGTCCTCTAGATTGCTCACAATAAATATGCAACCCAGGGCCGCCCCTTATGTCCTACCCTTTTCCTCTCCCCTTGGCTTGAGGTCCCTGCTGATTGCATTTCCATTGGGCATTTATTTTTCCTTGAGTAATTACCTCAGATACCATGGTAGATGTGTCTCTGAGGCCTTTTCCTCTACAGTTGTCCTTTCAGGGGCGCCTGGGTGCCTCAGTCGGTTGAGAGCGTTCGACTCTTGGTTTTGACTCAGGTCATGATCTCTTGTGGGATGGAGCCCCGCCTCAGGCTCCGTGCTCTGCACAGAATCTGCTTGTCCCTCTCCCTCTGCTCCTCCCCCCAAGCACATGCTTGCTCGCCCTCTCAAATAAATTAAAAAAAAAAAAAAAATAAAGTTGTCCTTTTACTTCCACATCAGAATACCATCTAGGTCAGATATATGGATATTCCCCTTCAGATACGGAGTCCAGTTGCAGTCTGATTATCTGCCCTTGCACAGTAACCCATTATTTCTTTATCAAAGTTCAGAAAGTTTCTCCTGTGTCCTTGGAATTCAGGAAGTCCATGGGCATCTGGGTGGGTCTGTATTTCTTGGTAAATCTTAACCTGGACTGGGAGTGGTGCCTCTTTAGCATCCATTTCTCTGTCCTTCCTAACAAACTCTGCTTTTATGCAGGTAGCCACACCTCCTGAGCTTTGAGACTTCCTTACATCACATTGTCTTCAGTGAACGTGTATGGCTGTGATCAGAAAGATGGAGCGATATATATGTTTTCTTTTAATTATTGCATTTAGCCCTGAGATTTTTATGATTCTGGCAGAGCCATCCCTTTTCTCTTTTGGGATCTTAGCTTCCCTGAGTGAATCTTGACTGTGGAGTGGGAGCGCTGTGGACATGTGACTTGAGTCTCGAGTGGAAGCTGTATGTATGTGTGCCCTGAGCTGCATGCACTTAGGATCTTTTCTTTCTTCCCAGGTTGGTCCTGTACTTTGGTGGTGGCGGCTTCCTGGCATTTTATAATTGTCAGATGTCTTGGAGCTCTTCCCCAGTGGTCAGACCCACCTCTGACATCTTGTCGGAAAAGTTCGATCGAGGACAAGCCTTGGAAGCTCTGGGCCAGGAGCAGCCTGTCTGCTATACGCTGTTGGACCAAAGATACTTCTCAGGCTTAGGTATGACTGATGGGAAAGGGATGGGACCCACCTCAGCTGTGCTTGAGGCAATCACTTCATCTCTTTAGCTTCACTTCCTTTGAGACGCCTGGGTGGCTCAGTTGGTTAAGCATCTGCCTTAGGCTCAGGTCATGATCCCAGGGTCCTGGGATCGAGCCCCACGTTGGGCTCCCTGCTCAGTAGGGAGTCTGCTTCTCCCTCTCCATCTCCCCTCCCCACCACTCATGCTCTCTCTCTCTTTCTCCCCCTCCCCCTCTCTGTCTCAAATAAGTAAAATCTTTAAAAAAAAATAAATAAGTAAACTGAGGGAGTTAGATTAGGCAATCTCTAACCTCTCTCCTGGCTTCAGAATTCACATCCTAATTATATTATCAACTGGAGTCCGCCTGTGGCCACATCACAGCATAACTTCCTAAAGGGCGGGAGCCATGTCTTCTTTCTCCTTGACTCCTCCACTGCCTGGTGCAGTGCCTGGCACACAGGAGGTACTCGATTACTCAATCAGTATGTGCTGGGAACCGGAAGCTGCAATTTGCTAAGGGAGAGCAGTGCATTTGCTAACGGGGCTTCTCTCGGGCAGATGGAGCTGCCTGCTGGCAAAGCACAGATGCCTCAGGCCTCCGTCAGGATCTTCAAAGACACGAGTGAAGAAGCAGGTTCCCTCCCTCTGTTCAAGTGTCCTGAGCAATGAAACCGTGAGCGTTTCAGGTAGGGAAACGAGCTGAGCAATCTGAAAACCAGAACAGCCAACTAGCGGAACTCTAAGAACTGACTGCCCTTACTACTTCAGCAGAGGCCTAAGTGCTCCTGTGACTGGCTGCTCAGGCAATTGAGTGAGCTGATGACAAAATCACCTCATACCCAAGGCCCGAAGGTGCCTGCTGCAGGCACAGCTCCCCTCAAGAGTGGGGAGGAGGCCCCGGGGGCTCCCCAGACAGCAGCTTGCATTTTCACATCGAGACTGTGGGAGCCCCTGTGCTCTGCGGGAGAAAGAGACCTCCAGAAGGAGCCTTTGGGATATTTACAGCAGGAGCTCATGCTCTACGGACACGTCATTGTTACCAACAATAGTAATAACAGCTGACATCTATCGCATGACTCTAACGTGCTAGTCACGTGGTTTCATCCTTCGTGTTAGTTTTCCCTTTACTCACACGAAGAAGCCAAAGCAAAGGCCATATTTCTGGTAAGTGGTGCGGCTGAGCTCGGAATCCAGGTAGTTTGCCAGGAAATTGTAGAGAAACATTTCTGTGTGACTAGGGGTGTGATTATGAAGCCCTTGCAGACAGCAGTGATTTCATTCATCCATTCATCCCACACATGCTGAACGCTTGCCTTCTACCAAGTTCAACGTCTCTCCTTCAGGAGATTATTAATGGCCTGGCAAGCATGAGCTCAGTTCACTGCAACTTCAGATAGATTGTGACAAATGCCTGGTAGAGGTTAAAGGAAGTGCACCGTTGGGACATTCTGAAGAGAGTTATTGATTCCGGAAGGAGGGGTCAAGGCTGGCTTCACCAAGAATGAGGCAGGAGTAGAAAAATAATGAAATAATACTTCCTAAACGCTTTATATCTCAGGCATTATGCTTGACATTTTAATTTTAAATGGCTAATATTTATTGAGTACTCTGTCCATACCAGCCGCAGTGCTCAGTGTGTGTGTGTGTGTGTGTGTGTGTGTGTGTGTGTGTGTGTGAGAGAGAGAGAGAGAGAGAGAATTCTCATTTACTGCTCACAAAAGCCAGGTAAGTGATCCCCATTTTACAGATGAGGAATGTGGAGCTAAGGAACCTGCCAGGGTCACATAGTCTGGTTGATCTGGACCAACCAGGATCTAGTTGAGCAGGGTTCCATCGCAGGCAGTCAGCTTCCATAGGCTGTTTTGATAACCTCTTTGCTGTAACATGGACCACACATGAGTTTTATTTCCTTTGGTCTCCACAACAGCCTTAAAGGTAAGTGTGAGCAAACCCAGTTGGCAGACAGGGAAGGGGCTCAGAGTCGGTGACTTGCCCGAGAGCCCTCAGGCCAGAGCAGGGCTGGCACCAGGTCATCCTCTGGAGCCCTCCCGCCGCCATCATGCCAGCTTCTGTTTGCTTTGCTAGTTTTGTGGATGGGGCTCCTGACCGGTGTGTTCTTTCCCCTTCCCTTGTCCTCTCCGTGCCTCCCCCCAGGGAACATCATTAAGAATGAAGCCTTGTACAGAGCCGGGATCCATCCCCTTTCTCTGGGCTCGCTCCTCAGCCCTCAGCGCCTCGAGGCCCTCGTGGATCACGTGGTGCAGTTCAGTGCGGACTGGCTTCAGGGCAAGTTCCAGGGCAGACAGCAGCACACGCACATCTACCAGAAGGAGCAGTGCCCTGGGGGGCACCCGGTCAGGAGAGAGGCCTTTGGGCCCCCGGGTGGCTTCCAGAGGCTCACGTGGTGGTGCCCACAGTGCCAGCCCAGGCTGCCCGCCGACGAGCAGGCACAGGTCCAGCTCTCCTAGGGGGCTCCCTCCTGTCTTCACAGACCCTGGCCCTTTAGGGGCCCTGATTCCTGAATGTCCAGAAAGGGGGTGCTGTCAGTGTTTGGGCCTGGCCACAGGAGCTAGAGGGCGGGGTGGGGCAGGGGGGTGGACGTCAGGAGTGTTGCCAGCCCCATCTCACTGGTTAGGTTGAAGGCGGTTCTTACAGGGTTAGATTTTTTTTTTTTTTTTTCCTTCTTTCGTTTCGGTTCATTCTTCCCATCCAATTCTGCCATTGTGAAAGATGAGGAAAAGTCATGAGGACGATAGAGGGAAACACTTACGCAGTGCGGCAGTGAAAATGAAAGCACCTGGAAGACAGCTGTGCCGCAGCATTGCTTTGCAGGTGTTTGGTTTTGCGTTTGAAACCTTGGTTGGTTGTAAGGCCCTCCATTTGAGAAGCAGGACAACGGAATTCTCTTTCTTTGTTCCCCTGGAGGGATCCAGGGGTGAGGATGGAGTGGCACCTGAGAGGTCAGCCTCCTGCCTGGATCCTTTCCCGTGGGTTGGAGACCCCAAGAGAAGGGTAGGAGGAGGAGAGCGCCCAGGAAATTGGCCACCTCCCTGCCGTGCCCCGTGGGCTTTAGAAAAAAGCTACTTATCTCCTCCATAAGGTGATACATTTGTGACTGTTGGTATGTTGAACAGTGTAGGAATCGAGGGGGTAGAGACACACTGTCAGGTTGTTAGCAACAACTAGAAGAAAGTAGGACAGTGACATGAAAATAAAGCTCTTTGTTATTTTCTGTTGTCGTCTTTATTTGGCAGTCAAGGCTCTCAACACTGTGAATAACTGAGCTCCCAGTGAAGGCGGCTACATAGGGCTCTCTGAGTTGGCCTGATGGGGCCACTTCAAAGGAACAGGGTAGGGAGGGGATGAACACCCACCTGCTCTTCTGCCCATAGGTGCGCTGCCCTGACATGAAATCAGGCAGAGCACAGATGGATTTCTTCCTGTTGTACTAGCCTCTGGCCTGCAGAAGATAGTGATTTGCATGAGTGCATGTACTGTGCCCTAGCACGTCCCCAAAGTTGTTAACACTGGGGAAAGCCACTTTATGGCACCCTATAACCTGTAGAATAGGTCATCTGTACTGAATACTTCCCGTGGAAAGCCTGTAGCCTAGTTCTTGCCATATCATCTGCAGAAATCCCCATGGTGATGAGTACTCACAGTGTGTTTTATAGGTGAGGAAACTGAACTCCACACTAGAGGCTGAGGAACTTGCTTAAGATCACACGGTTAACAAGGCTCAAGGGCACGCACTTATCACCCACCACTTTGTGGTCCTCTCTGTGTCAGGCCTCCATAACTGTACCCCAGTACTGCCCCAAGAGCTGGCTGACATCATTAGGGGGATGTCCCTGAAAGTAGCCAAGCTTCTTTTGATCCATCTCCTTTGAAAATAGGCCCCTAGGAAGAAGCATCACCCGTAGTGTCTCACAGATGACGGGTTCTCTCATCAAATATTGCTCTATCTCCCTCTTGGAGCTTTGTGGAGCTCGTAAAAGCTTCCAAGAAATTCTGCAGTAGAGCAAAGTATAACACTTTGTGTTTTCAAACCTTATTTTACCATAAAACCCATTTTACCTTTACCCTTCTTTGGAACAGAGTGTAGAAAAGGCTGTAATCCATTAAGATCCAACCTTTCTACACGCATCCTTTGAACCTGCTTCCAAATGTGCCTCTCCACGGTCTGTTTTTCCTTTGGATCGTTCCCTGCAACCAGTTTCAGCAACCCCGTTCAATCATGACAGTTCTTACATTGAGTCTAAATCCTTCCTGCTTTGTTTCCTCTGTGTCACATATTTAAGTATCTTACACAACGGTACCTCAGTTCTCTCTTTCACTTGACAGAAGTGCCAGTTCTTTTGGCCTTAGGTTATGTATGCCTAAGTAAACAGCACCGTCTGGGGGACTTAAACCACAGAAATTGCTGCTCTGGAAGTCCCGGATGCTGGAAGTGTCCCATTAAGGGGCCGGCAGGTTGGCCTCTCCTGAGCTCTCCCTCCTGGCCTTGCAGCTGCCTTCTTGCTGTGCCCTCCCAGGCCCTTTTCTCTATGTGCAGGCATTCCTGGGGCTTCTGCCTCTCCTTAGAAGGACACTCGTCCTATAGATGGCTTAGGGCCCCACGCTTATGACCTCATTTCACCTTAATTACCTCTTTAAAGGTCCTATTCAAATATCCCATATGGTAGGTTAAGGCTTCAATGTCAGAATTGGCTGAGGGGTGTGGTGGGGGTTATGGACACAATTCAGTCCATAACAGGATACAAAAGGGTTTCGGAGAGAATCTTCAAGTTCTCAGAGGCCATCTCTCTGCACTTTTGTTTTTATAACAAATTAGTTTGTAAAACCCTACTTCCACACCAGATGCTCTGAAAATACTATTTGAGTAATAGATTGCTATGTGTATCTACAAGAATATATTTACTCTTACGTGTGTGTGTGTGTGTGTTACATGAAAATATGTGGGGGGGTTACCTGTGTGGCTCAGTTAAGCGTCTGCCTTCAGCTCAGGTCATGATCTTGGGGTCCTGGGATCAAGCCCCACGTTGGGCTCCCCGCTCAGTGGGGAATCTGCTCACTCTCCTTCTGTGCTTCCCCCCGATTGTTCTGCGTCTCCCTCTCTCTTTCCCCCACTTCTCTCATAAGTAAAATCTTTAAAAATTATATGTGTGTGTACGTGTGTGTATGTACATATACACACAAATATGTATCCTTAATTTGAATTGACCTTTCTAACCCATACAGGATAACAGAAGTGTGAAATGTTAGGCATAAGCTGGGGCAGAGATGATGTCCAGCACGTTTCCTCGAAGTCAACATCTGATCAGTACAGTGGGTCCAGAATACAGGAGGGGAATGGGATGCGGAGGCTCTAGAGACATGAGGGGAGGGCTGGGCACCATGGCCTGCGTGTGGGTGTGCACCCATTGTGATGGGTGGAAAAGGAAAGGGAAAAACGCTGTTGCTGTTGTTGATAAAAGTGCTAGAACCTGGAAACAGTAGTGGGAATGGAAAGGAGGAAGGGTACAAGGGCATCATGGGGTCGGGCTCCTGGGTGACTAGCTGTGCAGACTCGGGGCTGGGAATGGGGGGTGGTGCGGAAGCTGAAGATGGCTCAGGCCCTGCACCTGCACTAGAGGAGCCCAGCCCAGCTGCTGGTAGGGAAAGTCAGCCAGGAGATGAGCAGGTTCTGTGGGGGAAGGTGATCAGATGTGAGGCATGTTGACCTGGGGGTACCTGTGTGGCACCCCAGGTCGGGGGACAGCATAGTTAGGACATAGGCCTGGCTCCCCACAAATGCAGGCTGGGCTGGGAGTCACAGATTTGGGAGCTTTCCTCGTGTGAAGGTCAGAGAAGGTTAAGGGCTATCACATGGCATGAGAAAAGATAGCAATCACAGTGGAACCGTAGAGAAAGTCTTGTGTTGAAGGGGCAAGAGCACAAAGAGAAGCCAGTCAATGAAAGATCAAATATAACAGGAGGAAAAAATAAGCTTCAGGTAGAAGCGAATAGTCCATAAGAGTGGCTTATGCTGAGTTGAAGGAGGAGAATGAGAAGAGGCCTTCGGAGTTGTCGATCAAATTTGCGGTCATGATCACCTCCCGGAGAGCAATTTTGTGTAGAGTGACCGCCAGTCTAAAGGGGCTGAGACCTGCATGAGAACTGAGGAAGTAGAAGCGACGAGGGTGGTCTGCCCTTAAGAAGGTTAGTCCTGAAGGAATGAGAAAGAGGAGGTCAGGGAGGAGAGTCACTTATTAAAGGGAGCTATAATGTGAGGATTTGTGTATGAGGAGTTGAGAGGAAACATTAGGAGGGCGAGAGAGCTCGCCAGCGCCAGCACTTAAAGCTGACTGGGCCCAGGATCGGGAGAGAAAAATAGATCCAGAGAAAATGCGGCGAAGGTGAGGTCTCTTGAAATACAAAGGAGGAAGGGGAAGGTTTGTAACAGCTGTTTTGGGAATTTAGAGCCACACTGGAGATCCAGGCTAGCTTGCTTCGCCTCCGGACTTTCTCCCGCAGTATCCAGTAGCCGAGGGTCAAAACCAATGAAATGGATGCTGTGTTAACCCACAGTTGAAAGTGGTCAGGGTAAGAATGGGAGAAGGCCAGGAGGGTGAGAATCCTTACTCTTTAAAAATTTTATTATTACCTTTAAATTACAGATACCAAAAGATTCAAATGATATAAAAGTTTACAGAACAGAGCATGGAAGAATAACTCTCACACCTGCTCTGTCCTCTCAGGAGCAGACTTCTTATTCCTCTGATTTCAAGGACTTTAACTAAAGTCTGTAGAGTGGGGAAAATAGAGCACCTAGCGGTTGAGTTGTAGGGGTTGTCAGCACCATCAGAATTCTAGCGGAAGTACAGGGCCTGGGTTCTGTGTGGAAGAAGTGTAGAAGCAGAAATGTGGATTGCAGACCGAAACCACTATGTCTCCCTTCCTAGTGGAAGGTCTCCTCACCGAGACCGACTATGTCTCCCTAGATTTTATGCATCGTGGCAGGAGGCTCTCAGAAAGTTTCAGTTAGTCCCGAAAGGAGGGAGGGAAGGGATGGCATAAGTGGAGTGAATGGGCGCTAGAAGAGAGGTGATGGGGGCGGGGAGGGGGAAGAGTGAGAATTACTCGGGTTGTCATTGTGCCTTTTGGACAGAAGGAGAGGCTTTTGCTTGGCAGAGTTGCAGCTGAGGGACAGGATACATAGAAGGAGAGTCCAGGTTTTACTCAGAAGTAAGGAGAGGTGAGATTTGTATCCAACAGATTCTAGGGGAAAGATTTTTTTATCTCCTGAACTCGAGTTTTGTGATCATTGATATTGTGAAAAACTTGATATTTAATGTTTGGTTTCAGCGGCCCTAGCCATTCAATAAGTATTTCTGACATGCCTCCTAAATGCTGGGTCTGGGAACACGAGAAAAAAACACAAGAAAACCCTACGTTAATAGGAAGAGCCTGGCTTATTACAAAGAGTGTTAAAAGTGTTTCAGTAGGGGGCGCCTGGGTGGCTCAGTTGGTTGGGTGACTGCCTTCGGCTCGGGTCATGATCCTGGAGTCCCGGGATCGAGTCCCGCATCGGGCTCCCTGCTCGGCGGGGAGCCTGCTTCTCCCTCTGACTCTCCCCCCTCTCATGCTCTCTCTCTCTCTCTCTCTCTCAAATAAAGAAAGAAAATCTTAAAAAAAAAAAAAGTGTTTCAGTAGGTTATAGAAA